AGTAGCTGCTTATTCAATAAAAGGGAACTCCTTTACATATGTCTGAAAGGGCGATTTCAAATGTTAGGGTGATAACTAGTTGAAACAGCGTGTATGCTTATGTGCACGTTTGCTGTGTGTGTTCGTGTGGCGGTCAGGGTTTGCCTTATCTCTGCTCCTCAGGTATGCTGGGTGTGTCAGCTGTCTCTCTTCTTGTTGAGGCAAAAGAGCCAACAGGAGCAACCTAGGGGAAGCAAGCTTTCCGTGGTTCTCTGTGGTGGAGGAGCCGTGGCAGGGCTGCTCTGTGGCGGTGTAAGCATGAGGTAGATAGAGTTCCTTTGCAACTTTGTAGACAGGAACCAACTAGCCCAGGACCAGGTGAAGGCATAGCCTTGAAAGACGGGATCCTGCTGCCCGGCGTCCACCAGCTTGCTTCAGTTCCTAAGGTTCCACAGCCTTCTAGAACCACACCACACCACCGCCTGGGGACTCAGTGCTCAGCAGGAGGAATTCATGGGGGCACTTCACACCCAAGCCAAGCTCCAACCACCAAGCTATGCATTCAGTCCCTAAAAGTTCTTGTGACTTGACCAAGAAGTAGGTAAGATGGGTTAGCACTCTGATTTTGTGGGCTCTGGGTGTGGTGATCTGTTGACCATTGTGACCCAAGGTCGGCCATATTGCAGAGGATGGCCATTGACTCAGGATAAGCATGGACATGAAACAGAAAAGAAAGATAGGGACGTTGTGGAGATACGGAAAGGGGAAAGACCTACTTACACATGAGTCTGATCAAAGTCCCTGGCGAAGAAGCCAGAATCCCAGCACAGCTGACAGTATAGAGCTAAGTTCCACACAAGCCTAGATGTGTATAACCCTGGGCGGAGCCTCATTCCTTGACCTAGACTTTGCCCAAGAATCTCAAATGCAGCCTTATCTTAGTTAACAGTAGAGATAGCCTACCCTTTTGTGTTTTGGCAACCCTGTAAAGATAGTAACTTCAAACCCCATCAAAATCCCTGGATGACAGTAGCAAAAAACAGGGAGCTGTGAGTCTCCTTGAGGGGCCATCCCCTCACTTTCGGTGACTCTCTGAGAAGCCCACATGATGCTGCTGGGTGTGTCTGTCTGTCTGTCCTTTGGAGTGTTTCTCTTCCTCTTAACCATTGTGCTTGAAGTCTATATTAAAATATCTCCATTAAACTCCATCTCTGCCTCATAAACTGACTAGTTCTGAGCTCTTTGTGTGTCAGAGCCACACATCCTGGTTGCCTGGGTTAAGGTCCTTGGAAGCCTAGGAGAGTTCCTCAGACAGCTAGGTGATGGATGATGGGGACTTGTGCTCCAGTTTCTGTCCTCATAGACACTGGCAAGTGTCTTGGTGGGCTCAGGCTAATTTTAGGTGGCCCTTTCAACCCTATCCTACCCTCAGCTCTAACCAGTTTATGGCAAGGACTGGAGCCACTGTTCAACCCCTTTGTTTTTAGTTGAGAGTTCCTTCCCGCTCCTCTTCCCGCTCCATCTTTCTGCTCATCTCCTTGCTCTGTCCTCCTGTTCTGTCTTTCTGCTCCATCTCCCTGCTGTGCTAAAGTACATCTCCTTTCTGGTTGGCTTTTTTTCTTTGGGAATGAAAATTTGGGGTGCCTGGACTACTGCGTTGCGGTTTAGGAAGGTGTGGCCCTGCCCTGCTCTGTCCTGGGGGACTGACCTCTCGGCTTTGTTGAGCACATCCAGGTGCCACTGTTGTGACTGAAGCAAAGGATTTCATTTTCTGTGCAACAGAGGTGGCTAACCTCACTGTAGCCTTTGCTTTCTTCAACTCAGAGTTGACTGTTGGAATGAACTGAGGCATCGATCGGACTACGAACCCTGGCAGCGTGCCACCATGTTCCAAATTTCGTGTGTTATATTAGCAATGGTGATCAAAATGAACCGGCAACCTTAAAGTAAAAGTTGAATTGTCAGGCGCTGGAGAGATGGCCCAGCAGTTCAGAGCACTGGCTGTTCTTCCAGTGGGCCCGGTTCAATTGAGGGCACCCACATGGCAGCTCATAACTGCCTGTAACTCCAGTTTCAGGGGTTCTGACACCTTCACACAGACGTACATGAAGGCAAAACATGAATACACATGAAATAAAAATGAATAAATAATTTTTTAAAAAAGTTGAGCTGTCAGGCGACTCTGGGAGACACCACACAGTATGTCTCCCTTTAGAGATGCACAGTTCGGTTAAGGAGTCTCCCTCCCTTACAGAAAGGGAAGTGGAAACTCTAGGTTCTTCCTTTGAGTTGATCTTAGTGAGCACTGCTGCTCCAGATGGGGCTGGAGGTGCAACACTGTAAGAGAATGTGTTTCAGGATGATTTGTTGACAAAATGCTTAGCACCAAGAGACTCTTTGATAGAATGTGTGGAGTGACCCTGATCACAGTAACCGATGCTGTGATGGACACTGTGACCTTTAATAAAGGAGTCACCGATTCGTCTCTCGGGTTTGTTGGAACTTGGTGGCTGAACCTTATGACTGGAAATGCCACTAAGCACTTAGCAATCTAGTGAATGTGAAGTGGTTGTGTTTTAGGCTATTACTTGTAATTGCTAACATATGCTTAATTTTATCCCTTTAATTTTATTAAAGTATGGTTAAATATTTTGCTCATATTTGCAATAAAGTCTTTCCATCATCTTTCCAGTGACCGATGATAACACAGAGAGCTTTGCTGGTAGGGAGTGAGATGGCTCAGTGGGTGGAGGGCGCTTGCCACTGGATGGTGTCAGCACGACAGCCTGAGCTCCACCTCCAGAACCCATACAAAAGTGGAAGGAGAGAACTGACCACAGTTGTCTTTTGATCTGTCACATACACATGCATGAAAGATAATAATAAAATTAAAAAATGTTGTTAGCAGTAGTCATTTGGACTCAATTCATGTTATCTTAGCCATTGTGTTTGTTTCTTTCTCCTTTTAAAGAATTTTATTATTTGTGTGTAAGTGTGTGTATCTGTGTGAGTGTATGTCACATGTGCGAGTGTCCTTGGAGGCCAGAAGAGGGTGTCACTCCTGGAGCTGGGGTTCTAAGTGGTTGTAAATCACTTGATGTGGGCACTGGGAACTGTATGGTTGGGTCCCATCCAAGAGAAGCACGTGCTCTTAACCGCTGAGGCTCTCTCCAGCTCCAGGGTACAGGAGGGTAATGCAGGTATGGAGCCCCTTACTGGGATGGCAGTGATTGAACTTGGCCATTTTATGCAGCACATAGGAGATAGACCGAATGTGCTCCCTGTCCCCAGTGTGTGCAGCACAGTAGGTGCTAGGATGTGATGGGAGGGCAAATGTAACAGAAACCCTGAGGGTGGTAGGGCTTTGTGGAAAGGAGAGAGCATAATTATTGCTCATCTATCAAAGTTCTAACTCCATATCTGAAGGTGACTAACATGAACTTATTTGTTTGTCTGTGTTTGCAAAGAGCCTCACTTAAAGGTTTCGGAAGGAATGAAATAAATCGTTAGTACAAAACGCCTGGAACTTGACATCATGTAGACTAAGCTAGCCCTGAACTCACAGAGACCTTCCTGCCCCTGCCACCGCCTCCTGAATGTGCCACCATGCCTGGTGTAATAAATTGATCTTAATTTCCAGTTATTGATATGTTGTCATTGATATTAAAAACCTTTTCTTTCTCCTACTCTCCTATTCATAAGCAACCTTTTGTTTTGGTTCTTTTCAGACAGGGTTTCTCTTCATAACAGTTCTAGCTGTCCTGGAACTCCCTCTGTAGACCAGGCTGGCCTGGAACTCACAGAGATCCATGTGCTTCTGCCTCCCGAGTGCTGTGATTAAAGGCCATGTGCCACCACTGCCTGGCCATAAGCAACCTTTTTTTTTTCTTTTTTTTTAAATTGTGTTATTGTTGTGTTTGTTTCTTTTTTTTAATGTTTTATTTATTTATTATGTATACAACATTCTGCTTCTGTGTATATCTGCACACCAGAAAAGGTACCAGATCTCATAATGGATGGTCGTGAGCCACCCATGTTGTTGCTGGGAATTGAACTCAGGACCTCTGGAAGAGCAGTCGGCACTCTTAACCTCTGAGCCATCTCTCCAGCCCTATATGCAACCATTTTAATGTGCTTGTGTGTTTTTAATCCTCATAATACACCACTGTAGCCCTAAATTCACTTACATAGTTAGATGATCTATAATCTAAATTATTACGAGAGTTCCCCTTTAATGCTATTTCTTTTTACTTTCTGAAGTTTTGTTAGTATTTCAGGCCTTTTGACCTTTGTAATCAGAGAAGCCTAAAAGAATCGGCTGTCTTTCTCTTTGCTCAGTGTATAAATGTGCTTTTCTGTTGTTGTGGAGTGAACCTAGGGCCTCCATTTATGAAGCAGACACTGATGCTATATCCGGTCCCCATCATGGAATATTAAAAGAAGGGTTACCCTTGCATTTAAATTTTTGTTAATTTTGTTTTAATTTGCTTATTTTTGTATCTAAATTTAAGTTGTTGTGAATTTTGTTTCCTTCTTCACCATTAGCTGGGTCATCCCTTACAGATATCGAATGTGTTTGAATGCTGTGGTGTTTTTTTTTTTTTTTTAACACTGAAATGCTATTGTGCTAACTGGATTCTTACACAATTGTAATACACAGAAGCTGAGGTGGTAGCTCACTGGCGGTGCTTGCCTGTTTGCACGGGCTGATTTCAGTCCTCTGACCGAAAAGGGAAATGTGGAGAGTTGAGTGTACATGTGCCAAGCACAGCTGTTCTTCAGGCTTGGATTCGTCTGGGCCTGAGAGGTGATAGATAGGCAGACTGTTAGCACGACAGCGTGCAGCGACCGAGGCCGGGAACGTTGCCGAGTGAGGTCACCTCACTGACTTGAGTTTTTAGTAAGTGACATAGCATTCATTCTCTTCCACAGATGGAATTTTAGGCAAGTGCTATTGAAAGTCATTGCAGAGCTGTGAAATCTCATTTGATAACGAGCTATTTCTGTCTGTTTGGTTTTAGGTTGTCTCACGAAGAAATCCAGAAGACGTCCAGGAGGTAGCATGCTTATCCGTGTGAAAACTCCTCTTGTCCTTGTTGAAGAAACTGCCCCAGTTACTTGCATGAGTGTTGGTTTTCGTGTGATGGTTTCTCTACTGCCCGTTACCCTTCATCCTGCTGAGGGGGCGTTAGGTGGTGGGAGTGAGAATTTGGGGAGCTAGGGAGCTCTCCCTCTAACACTCACCCCACTCCAGGGCTTCGCTGACCTTTTCAGAGTCATGATGCTTGTTCATTAAAGCTTGGGTATTGGGTGGCCAGTGTCAGTTTGAAAGCTCAGCAATAGATTAGGGGATGTGTGTACCCCTACTCCGGTGTTGAGTTGGCATGCTGAAGTCATGACTGCTTCAGGTATCCCTCCTTATTTTTGACTTTTTTGCTGAGTTCTTTTACAGGCTTCTCTTGCGTTTCTCTCTGTCATCCTCTCTGCTGACCTGGCATGTTTTGCCTTGAGTGGTGGGATTCTCACTAGTGGTTTTCTGCGCTCTTTGCTTAGGTTAGGGACGCTGGCCAAGCAGGCCGCTTCCCCCTCGCATGTTAGTTTACTTCCTGTTTGATTCCCATTTATTTTTGAGACCAGAGGCACTGCTAGGGGACCCCTAACCCCGCCCCCAGCCAAGTGTTTACACAGATGATGTAAATTTATGTTTTTATTCTGCGGCGGTGTCAGTTGTCCCCCAGTGGGGTTCGAGTGTCTTTAGACGGGGCGTGGATTTGTGCTTAGCTGCAGGTGCTACTCCTGCTCCAAAGCACCTGGCTTGATTCGTGTGTTTGAGTTGATTGTCTCACACTGGCTGGCCCAAGTTCATTAGACTCTTGGCGTGTCTGACTTTGTAGTTTTTGTCTCATGAGTCAAAACCACAGTGAAAGATGCCTTCAACAGATTTTACAGTATTTCCCTCACAGGTTGGGAGACTATTGGAATACTAATGTTTCAGAGAGAAGGAGCTGTGTGTATCTCATGGTTAATTGTTCTCTCCTTGCATGCCAATTGATAGCACGAAGCATGCTTTACAGTTCAACTTCTGTTTAATCACTGCTGCTTCTAGTAGATTTGGCTTCTGAAAGCTTATTGCTGTTAGACTTGGAAATGGGTTGTGTGACATCTGATTGCCGTTCTTTGGTTGTACCTTGATGTTCCCCTTTTCCAGGGAGAATCCTGAGCCAACTTGTCCATGAGCGCACTCTGACATTTCCTTAGTCCTTTTTTGAGGGAAACTCTTTTATAATACCAACTGCTGGTGACCCATTCATCAGCAAGCTCTTGTAAGTGTCCTTCAGTTAGACAGTTGCATGTTCTTATGTTAGAAATGATAAAAAAAAATTGAGTCTTCTATGTAGCTGACTTCCTAAACCATAGAATACCCTGAGATTTTGACAGTACCTCTAGGCTCTCATTTGTCATGTTTAAACTTTGGCATCTCACTTAGAAGAGTTTATTGTTCAGGTTTCCAACTCCTTTCCTTTGGTGTTCTTGACGCTGTGAACTCACAGCTTTAGAATATACTCAGGCTTCCACAAAGCTCTGGGCAACTAATAAACACACACTTAGTTCAAGCAAACTACGACTATACTGTCCTTATAAAGCTGGGGAAATGTCTCTGTCCTTTTGTAGAGCTTGTCTGGCCCCTCCAGATTGGTTTTCTTCCTAAGAATACTAAAACAACACGCACAGGAAGCGAATCACTTGGATATTATGTCAGCTTCCCTTTTCAAATTCCCTCTAGATTTCTAAGAAAGTTGAGTGGTTGGGGAGACGATTGCATTCATGGTGTGCCTGCTGTGCAAACAGGAGCTCCCGAGTTTTCCTGGGGACCGTGGTTTGTGCTTGGGATCTCAGTGCTGGGAGGTGGAGACGGGCAGATCCTTGGGTGGACAGTGCCTGAGGACAGACGACACTTAATGTGGACCTCTGGCTCCCACAGGTGCATGTACAGACATGCAAGTAAGTAGCACAAAACTCAATACAGAGGAAGATGCACAAGCAAATAGGACGACAGTCATCGTATCTGTCGTAAGCAAAGATGACCCAGGAAGTTCCTAGTGTTCAACGGGAGTAAAGACGAAGGTGTTGCTAGGTGATGCTATAAAACAGGGGAACAAGGTTTTTTGGCACCATTAAGTCGAAGTATCTGAAAAGGAAATGCATATTGTATGTCGAAATGCTAAAGGGGATGCTTGGACAAAAAATTGAGCTTTTACCAAATTTTTAATCTATATATGGTCATCAAATGCTTCACTGGTAAGGTTTCTTCAGAGTGCATAGGGAGCCCACCCTTGCTTCCATCGTTCCCGTAGGAACCAGCCAGACCTTACCAGAGACAGTGAGTTCCCTGTGTGTCTGCTCCTGTCTTAGCGGAAGTACCAACCCCAGTCCCTACTGATCTGCGGGAAGCATATTCCTGTTCTCATTTCCACTTGAGGATTTCTGGCTCTTCAGATTTAGTGAAGAGGAGTAAGAGGAGAGGAGAAAGTGGCTGGGGCACTCTGTTCTCAGTGTTCTGGTCCTGGAGCCTGGCGGTAAATGAAGCTGTGGCTCTGGTGGGTTTATATGGCTTTATATGATCTTGTATCTCAGTTGTGAAAGTTTTCCTCAACTACCACTCCTTTATTTGAAAATGCTCCTAACTAGGAAGCTTTATCTGCAAATGTGATTGCTTCATAACCTCGTTACCTGCTCCTCCTGAAGCTCTCGGCAGCATGGTACAAGCATAGTTTGGGTTACCTATGTCACTATGGTCCATATTTATTTATTATTTTGATCTTCTGAGATGGGCTCGTGCTGTCTAGGTCAGACTGTCCTGTAACTCGCTGTATAGCCCAGACTGGCCTTGGACTCATCTTACTGTCCAGCTTTCTGAGTGCTAGGACTTTAGGTGCGAGCCATCATGTCCAGCTCAGTTGGATGCGTTTTGAAATGTAGAAACAGCACTTTTGCTCCTGACAAAATTATGCTTCTGTATCAAGATTGGAAGCTACAGAGAACAAGAGCTGTGGTGGGTGCAGCCACCTGTTGTCTGTCCCTGTCCTGAGTCCCTGACTTCCCAGGTGTTGGAAGAGGAGGGAGATATTCTTGCCCTATTGTTGGTTCTGGGTGGTCAACATTTCTTCTTTTCCCTGGCCCTGAGGACCATCTCAGCATAGCCAGGCTTCTGTTTTCTTCATCCTTGCTCCTGCCTGGTCCTTTGGTGTCCCTGTCCCCTGTTGGACTCTTCATCCCATCACAGACACTTAGAAGCCTGCTGGTGGCTCCGGAGTGAGTGTGTTTTGCACTGAGATGCCAAACCCATGTGTCCTGTTGAACAGCTCAGAAGCCCATGAGCCAGATGTGCACAGCTGGTCTCTGACAGGCTTCATACACCGCTTCCTGCTCCCCACCTCAGGAGACAGTACCACTGATTCAGTCAGAGACCCCAAGATTGTAGAACTCTCCACCTTTGCTATCTTTCTCTCTTTAGAGACTTTGTCCACGGCCTTGCCTCTGCCTCCCATGCTTTGTTGCTCTGGTGACTTGTAGATGCCACTCTCCAGGCCGGGCAGTATCTCAGCATTCATCAGGCCCTTTGTGAAGTCGTCCAGGCTGGCTTGCTGTTCTTGCCTTGCGGGAGCCCTGAAAGGCGGGGCCTGTACCTCCTGTCTCATACTTTGGGACAATATAGTGTCCAGAATAGGGTAGGGACACTGGTTTTGGTGACCGTTTTTGTTGAGTAAATGAATAAAAGTGAAACACTGGGCAGAAGCAACTTGTCTAACTCATGTCATGGTTCTTAGAGCGGCTGCAAACAACTGTAATTATGAACGCCAAGAAACACCCTCTTCAAGGCTACTTCACATAACAGGACCAAGTTTGGCAAGACTTGAAAATCGTGTCCAGTGACCTCCTTGGCCTAGTGTTTGGTCATCATCAGCATGACCCTGCATATACATGAACATGTAGGCTCTTTTAAAAGTGAGGTAGTCAGGCTTTTGGGAGGGAGGAGTGTACAACTTAGGTTTTCTTTGTGGAACTCAGAGCTGACAGTGACATTAAGACCATGCATCAAATATTTCTTTCTTTTTTTCTTCTAATTCATTCTAAAGAAGATCAAATACTTTAAGCTAATGACAGCAAATTGCTTCTCCATGTTGTCTAATCTATACTTTTTTGTGATTTATGGGTATTAATTATATTCTGGTCAATGTTTACTTTGTATCCAGAAATCTTATGGTTAAGATTTATGAAAAAAAATAGGGAATTTAAAAACTCACCTTTTCTTTACTCCCAGCCATTTCTCCTTCACTGTTAGTCTTTTTTGGGGGGGGCGGGGAGGAGGGAACACATTTTATGTCCTTTTTGTTTAAAATTTGCCCGAGATTGTTGAGAGCTGCAGAGATGTCTTAGAGGTTAAAAGTAAGTCCTGCGCCTGCTGAGGACTGGGTTAGTTCCCCAGCAGCTATATGACTCAACAGCACCACTCATGCAGGGTCATATACCTGGATAATCTGAAAAAAGAAAAAAGATTAAAAAAACAAATTGCCACAGGGTAGTGGTGGTGCACACCTTTGATCCCAGCACTCAGGAGGCAGAGGCAGGTGGATCTCTGTGAGTTCGAGACCAACCTGGTTTACAGAGTGTTTCAGGACAGCCTCCAAAGCTATAGAGAAACTGTCTCAGTCCGGCCCCAAATTGCCTAAGTTGTTTGTGCCTTATAAGCATGATATTTGAGATAGTGTTTGTCATTTAATTCATTCCCAGGTCAGTAGTAACAGGATTTTGGAGAGAATGTATTTTATGCAGCATAGAGCATTTTGTTGGATACTTTTCTAGGATGAGTTAAAAGGCTGTAAGGAGTCAGGACGTAAGTAAGAGCCTCAAGTCAGCAGTGTGAGGAAGAAGCAAGCTTCAGAGTTTAAGGCAGATGTTGGGTTCCCTTCACACACCTTCAGCCCTGTAGGACAGAGAGTGTATATGTTTGCTATGCATGGAAATTTTTGGAATATTTAAGGAAAATATTATTTGTGGCCCAGAGACAGAATTGTTGTGCTTTGAAATATGCATTCAATTTTGCTTTCTTTTCAGATAATTGTATGGAAGAGATACAGTGACTTTAAGAAACTGCACAAAGAACTATGGCAAATTCACAGAAACTTATTCCGACACTCAGAGCTGTTTCCTCCATTTGCTAAAGGGATAGTGTTTGGTAAGTGCTCTTCTGAGATTACCACCTCCTGTCCCTGTCCACTCCTGCCCCTGTCCACTCCCACCCCCGCCACCAGACTGGCAATTGAATCTAGAGCCTCATACCTACCAGAATCTACAGTTCAGCCCTAAAAATTGTGATTTAAATGTGATGATTAGCTAAACGATGGTCTGTGCTGAGCCCTTTACAGTTTAGCAAGTACTTCATACTGTTTTCTCATGCCCTCATATAGTTCATATAAAATATGTTTCCTCTTCTCAGCCATGGGGTAACTGCATCTCTGGCCAGGCAGAGAGACTAGGAAGCTAAGAAAGGATTTTTATTCAAACCTGTGACCTTGGATGGAGTCTTAGTCAGGGTTTCTATTCCGTGAAACACCATGAACAAGAATCGAGTTGGGAAAAAAAGGGTTTTTTGGCTTATGCTTCAGCATTTCTGTTCATCATTGAAGGAAGTCAGGACAGGAACTCAAAACAGGGCAGGATCCCGGAAACAGGAGCTGATGCACAGGCCGTGGAGGGGAGCTGCTTACTGGCTTGCTTCCCCTGGCTTGCTCAGCCTGTTTTCTTATAGAACCGAGGACCACAGCCCAGCGATGGCACTGCCCACCATGTGCTGGGCCCTCCACCATTGATCACTAATTGAGAAAATGCCTTACAGCTGGATCTCATGGAGTCATTTCCTCAGCTCAGGCTCCTTCCTCTGTAGACTCTAGTTAGTGTCAAGTCGACACACAAAACCAGCCAGTACAGATGGGTTGGCTCTTGCCCTCTGAGTGCTTTCCGTGCCCCAGCCCCAGGGTAGTGTAATGTTGTAACCCGTCTCTGTGGGGCTTCAATCAGAACCAGCCAACTTGCCTGGTTTGTACCTGAGAGGGGGAGTGTGGATTGAGAAAGGGCAGGTAAAGACGCTAAGATAGAGTCAGGAGGCCGATCCAGTGACTACTGGACACACCAAGTTTATTCTTCACCATTCTTAAATACCCCAACCAACAAGGGGAACGTGGCAAAAGACTTCTTTATCATGTACAAGGAACAAACAGAATTTCTTCCTGAATTCTCCAAGCACTTGGTAACCACACCTTAGACCCGTAATCTAGCTTTGAGGATCAAGACTAACCACACCTCAGACTTGGTCTGTTGTCAATTAAATAAGATACCCGAGGCCAAGATCAAACATCCTAGTGTAGCAGGCCTCAGACCTTTGGGTCTCAGGACTTACTGAGGACAGTTTTGAACTCTTTGCCCCTACAGTGTAACCCTCCTCACGCATATCAACCCTGCGTGCAGCAGCTTTGAGGGCCCTGCTTTTCACATCTTCTCCACCTTTCCCGACTGGAAACCTGGCTGACTGACTGCAGAGAAATTGTGCCACGGCCTGGCTGCTGGGCTGTCTTGAGATATCCACCAAATAGTTATTATCTTTAAACTTGGCTTCATTTAGTGTTTAGGATGTAGGCAGAATGCAGCCCGAGTCTTTGCCAGAGCTGAGCACAAATGGCTTCCAGCTGAATCCCTGGTAGAGTGCTTTCCCTTTTTCTCTCTTGACCTCCTGACCCGGACTTCCCTTCTGGGGTTTTCTGAGCACTCTAGTCTTGTGAGTCCCACTCTAACAGCCACCAGGCTTTTAGGCTCCTCTGGTTCTCAACTCCATGTCCGGGTTTGCGTGGCCTGTGAGCCCTGCAGCAATTCCATGTCCGGGCTTGCGTGGCCTGTGAGCCCTGCAGCAATTCCATGGCCGGGTTTGCGTGGCCTGTGAGCCCGGCAGCAATTCCATGTCCGGGTTTGCGGGGCCTGTGAGCCCTGCAGCAATTCCATGGCCGGGTTTGCGTGGCCTGTGAGCCCGGCAGCAATTCCATGTCCGGGTTTGCGGGGCCTGTGAGCCCTGCAGCAATTCCATGGCCGGGTTTGCGTGGCCTGTGAGCCCGGCAGCAATTCCATGTCCGGGTTTGCGGGGCCTGTGAGCCCTGCAGCAATTCCATGGCCGGGTTTGCGTGGCCTGTGAGCCCGGCAGCAATTCCATGTCCGGGTTTGCGGGGCCTGTGAGCCCTGCAGCAATTCCATGGCCGGGTTTGCGTGGCCTGTGAGCCCGGCAGCAATTCCATGTCCGGGTTTGCGGGGCCTGTGAGCCCTGCAGCAATTCCATGGCCGGGTTTGCGTGGCCTGTGAGCCCGGCAGCAATTCCATGTCCGGGTTTGCGGGGCCTGTGAGCCCTGCAGCAATTCCATGGCCGGGTTTGCGTGGCCTGTGAGCCCGGCAGCAATTCCATGTCCGGGTTTGCGGGGCCTGTGAGCCCTGCAGCAATTCCATGGCCGGGTTTGCGTGGCCTGTGAGCCCGGCAGCAATTCCATGTCCGGGTTTGCGGGGCCTGTGAGCCCTGCAGCAATTCCATGGCCGGGTTTGCGTGGCCTGTGAGCCCGGCAGCAATTCCATGTCCGGGTTTGCGGGGCCTGTGAGCCCTGCAGCAATTCCATGGCCGGGTTTGCGTGGCCTGTGAGCCCGGCAGCAATTCCATGTCCGGGTTTGCGGGGCCTGTGAGCCCTGCAGCAATTCCATGGCCGGGTTTGCGTGGCCTGTGAGCCCGGCAGCAATTCCATGTCCGGGTTTGCGGGGCCTGTGAGCCCTGCAGCAATTCCATGTCCTGGGTTTGCGTGGCCTGTGAGCCCTGCAGCATACACTCCACTGCCAGGTCCAGTTTTCTGAGTGAGTTACTTTCCTCTTCTCTGTGATAAAATGCGTGATGGAAACAACAGGAGAAAATTTGTTTTAGCTCATGGTTCAGGGGACACAGTTGATCACGGTGTCTGCAGTGAGTGGGCGCTTGTATGGTACAGGGGACACAGTCCATCATGGTGTCTGTGTTAGCGGGAGCTTATAGTGGTGACATTTCCGTAGTCCCGGTGAGGAACATCAGCCATGACCCTCAGGGCTGTCTCCAGTGGCCCATGTCTGTCCACTAGGCCTATGTCTTAAAGGTTCCACAGCTACTCATGAAAGTACTACCAGCTGGAGACCAGTATTCAAATATATGAGCCTATGGGAACCTCTAACATCCAAATCTCCAATGTGCTTGTGTCATGCTGTCTGATATGTATCAGGGACGGTCATTGTGACCTGTAGCAAAGGTGACGGTTCCTTGTCCTGAGATTTGGCAGTAGATGTCTGTGGCTTCTCCCTTGATGCTGTTTCACTTCCTTCTCTCTGTTCCCTCTTCCCTCTTCCTACCTCTCTCCTCTCCTATCTGTCTCCTCTTTCTGTTCCTTCTGCTCCCCTCCTTTTCCTAACCCTCCCTCTTTCTCCTCTCTTCATCCCCCCAGTCCCTTCCTTGCTTTGAGAGAAGCCAGCTTTCTCACAAAGATACCGCTAACCTATCACGCAGCCGTATGATGACAAGTGGGACCTCCAGCCATCACACTCTAATGAGAAGTGTGCCCAGACTAGATGAACATGCGCACATTCTCCAGTGCTAGCTTAGACTTTCAGTGACCGTAGCCCTAGCTGACAGGGTGGGACCCTGCACCAGAGCCACCCAGCTGTACCTGCCTTTTAGGTGCTGACCCTCAGAGTCTGTCAGTGATGGTAACTGCCTGACACTGTCATTTGTCTTGTAGTAATAATTACTTAATGGATTTTGATGTCTGGAAGTGGAGTTGCCACCAACCAAAGGTACAAATGTGACCCTGGTTTTGGAATTACCCTGAAGAGGCCACTGATAGAAGTGACTGATTGAACCTTCCCACAGAATAGGGAATTCTTCAGGCTGTGTTAGGACTCCCCATCTGCACGTTTTACAGCCGGGACTGGGGACAGATGCAGAGAACCCTGGATGATCTGGCAGCATCACTGGCATTCACCTGACAGTGAGGTGGGCATCTAAAGCTTGTCACCAGTATTAGCAAATACCCTGAAATGCATCAGAGGAGAGCCTGGGTGGCCTTGCTGTTAATGTGAACTCTCTCCCAGGGGCTCAAGCGTTTCAACGCTTGTTCCTCACCTGGTAATGCTGTACTGTGGAGACTTTGGAGGCGGGGCCTGGCTGCAGGAAGTGGGTCCTTGTAGGGCGGGCCTTGAGGTTTAGAACCCTGCCCTGCTTCCTGCCTATTCTCTGTTCCCAGACTCCTCCTGGATGAGTAAATTTTCACGACCATACCATCTCTGCCATTATGGATGGTGTGTGTCTCTTCAAACCATGAGCCAAATAACTCTGCCCTTAAGTTGCTTCCTTTAGGTATTTTATGACGGCAATGAGATAAGTAACAGATGCAGAGCCATACCTGAGAGGAGGCACTGTCCTGTGCCAAGCTGAGATTTAGAGACCTGGGCCTTAGGTCAGTAGTGTCAGACCTACTGGTTCTCACAGGCCTTCAGTCACTCTGTCTCCTGAGCTCAGGGGTTTAGACTTTCTGCTAAGTGCTGATCCCTCTCGGTTGTTTGCATCTAGCCCTGGGTTCAGTCTCCAGCACTGACAGTTAAGTCTTCACTTGTTCCTTTGATACCTTTCTGTTTACAGTGTGGTTTGCTTTTTGCCCCTGATGTTGCTGCTAACCTTTGTGGCCACTTGTACTGCCACTGTGCCCAGCAAGCATGGGCAAATGCCCCGGATCTGTTAGTCAAAGTGTCTTCTTTTGAAGCGACTAGGCTAGATGTGGTGCGCACCTGTAATCCTAGCATTCAGGACACTGAGGCAGGAGGATCACGAGTGTAAAGCCACCCTGAGCTACAAAGTCAAGGCTTGTCTCAAAAACAAGAAAAAAAGGAAAGCAAAAGTGAAGTCAGCAGTGTGAGGAGCCTTTAGCGTTATCTCTAAAACTACCCCAGAGAACATTCTCTATAACTAATCTTTGCTTCTTAATAAATGGTGACGTCACCGAGAGTACGTTCTGGGTCTGCCGAGTGCAGGGAATAGGTAACCACAGGTAGAGGGTAAAGTGCTGAATTTGCTGGAGTTGTGGCACATTTTTCCCTAGCAGTCTCTTCAGTGGATTTCCATAGTCACCCCGT